CAGATTGAGAAAACATATTCAGCAACAACATAATTGACAAGGGACTTATCTCTAAAATTTATAGAAAATTTCAACCCCTCAACAACAACAAGACAAACAATCCAATTAAAACAAGTCAAAAGACATGAATGGACACTCACCAAAGAAGATACTCAGGCAGCCAACAAACAAATGAAGAAATGTTCACGATCATTATGCTTTAGAGACACTCAAATCAAAACAACATCTCACTCCAGCACCTAATAACAACTTCAACAACACAGAAAGTAACAAAATATGGAGAGATTGGGACTCTCCTACACTTCTGGTAGGATTGTAAAATGATACAACCATTGTGGAAATCAGCATGGCGATTTTTTAATAACTTGGAATTAGACATACCATTTGATCCTCCAATCCCATTACTAGGTATATATCCTAAAAAACTGAGAGCCAGGACAAGAACAGATACATGCACACCCAAGTTCATCACAGCACTATTCATGATAGCAAAAACATGGAAACAACCTAAGTGTCCATCACCAGAAGAATGGATAACCAAATCACGGTACATACACACAATGGAATACTATGCAACACTAAAGAATAATGTATAATCTGCGAAATGCCACATAATGTGATAGAACATGGAGGACATTATGCTGAGTGCAGTAAGTCAATCACAGAAGGACAAATAATGAATTAGTTCACTATTGTAAAAAGTCAAGGAAAGGTTTATAGATGGAAGAAGCTTTCTTTGTTGGTTACCAGGGGTGGGAGGAGAGGAGAGGAAACACTGCAAGATAGGTAGAGACAAGGATTGATTTGGGTGAAGGCCATGGTGGCAATGAGGAAGAGGAAAACACAGAGGTACACGGGAGGACAACAAAGATGAACCATTCTGCATGTATAGTACTGTGTTGTCAGTGATGGCAAACATTGACAGGTGGAAAGATGGGTGGACAAGCTGAATGACCAGGTATGTCCAGGCCCTAGGAAATGTACCCATAACCATGTACAGGATTAGCAGACAATGTTTCTGCACACATATTTGCATGTGCTAAAAGAATTTCTGGGTGTATAGTAGAGCTGACAAAAGGCAAGGTTGTGGTGGCTTCTTGGCCATAGCCACTTACCCAGAGAGAGTGAGTAGTTGGACCAGTGGGTTCAAAAGCATGGTCGCAGGGGACATCAAGCTCAAATGGCATAACATACTATACAAAAACACTATTCTACATCCTACTTTGGTGAGTAGAGACTGGGGTCTTAAAAGCTTGTAAGAAGCCATCTAGATGCAAGGATGGGTCTTTTCTTGTGTCCACAGCAAAAAAGAAGAAAAGCAAAGACGCATGAAACAATTAGTCCAAGGGACCGGTACACCATGGGATCCTCAGCCCTTATGACCACAAGACCAGAAGAACTAAATGGTACCCAGCTTTCACTGTCAACCAATTGAAGGGGGGATCAGTGCAGAAGATCCTGGATAGAATAGGAGAACAATGTGAATAAAAGTCAAAATCAAAAAAGACCAGATTTGGTCTGATGGAGCCTGGTGAGACCCCTGAGAGCATGGCCCCTTGTTACTCTTTAGATCTGCAACTGAACTCACTCCTGTAGCTTTAAGAAAAACAACAGAGAGGCATATGGGGTGAACATTTACATCAAGCAGATACACTCCATGGAGTGATCAACTGTGGGAGAACAGAAGGACAGTGTTTGAACAGGGAGAGAGCTCAGGGGGCGGGACTGTATGGAAGGGATGCACACAGGAAGAGGTAACTATGGTGAGGAAGTGGGACAAGAGCTGTTACATTGTGGGGAATTGTGGTCAACAAAATGAAACAAAATGTGTATGAACTGCTGTATGGAAAAAGAATTTGTTCTATAAACTTTCACCCAAATCACAGTAAAAATTAAAAAAAAAAAAAAAAAGAGAAGAAGTATTTATTATTACTGGTGACTGGAATCTAAAAGTGGCAACAAAGTAGAATTGTGGGTAGTTGGAAAATATGGCCATGGTGATAGAAATGATGCTGGAGATTATATGATAGAGTTTGCAAGACCAATGACTTACTCATTTCAAATACCTTATGTGCACAGCGCAATCAGAGGCTATACACGTGGACCTTGCTAGATGGAATAAACAGAGGTCAGATAACTATAACTGTGAAACGAGACAATGGAGAAGCTCAATATCTTCAGCCAAAAAAAAGACAGGAGCTAACTGTGGAACAGACTATCAATTGCTCATATGCATCTTCAAGCTGAAGCTAAAGAAAATTTAAAAAGTCTAGGAGAGTCAAAATAGGACCTTGACTACATTCCACTTGAATTTACAGACCATCTGATGAACAGATTTGAAACACTGAACACCAATGACCAAAAACCAGACAAACTGAGGGATGATATCAAGAACATTATACATTAAGAAAGCAAAAGATCATTAAAAAGACAGGAATGGACAAAAAGACCAAAATAGATAACAGAAGGGATTCTGCAACTTGCTCTTAAATGGAGACTATCTAAAGCAAATGGAAGAAATGACAAGATAAAAGAGCTGAATTGAAGATTTGAAAGAGCAGCTCAAGAAGACAAAGTCAATAATTATAATGAAATGTGCAAAAACTTGGAGTTAGAAAACCAAAAGAAAAGAACACATTTGGCATTTCTCAAGCTGAAATAACTGAAAAAAAATCATGCCTCGAGATGCAATATTGAAAGATTCTATGGGCAAAATACTGAATGGCACAAGAAGCATCAAAAGAAGATGGAAGAAATACACTGCACAAAAAAGAACTGGTCAATGTTCAACTATTTCTGGAGGTGGAATATGATCAAGAACCCATGGTACTGAAGTAAGAAGTAGAAGCTGCACTGAAGGAACTGGTGAAAAACAAGGCTCCAGGAATTGATGGAATAATTACTGAGATGTTTGAACAAATGGATGCCAAGCTGCAGGCACTTACTCATCTATGCCAAGTTATTTGGAAGACAGCTACCTGGCCAACTAATGGGAAGAAATACATTATTTGCATCCATTCCAAAGAAAGTTGATCCAAGAGAATGCAAAAGTTATTGAAAAATACCATTAATATCACATGCAAGTAAAATTTTGCTGAAGATAATTCAAAAATGTTGTAGCAGTATACTGACAGGGAACTTCCAAAAATGCAAGCTGGATTCAGCAGAGGATGTAGAACGAGGGTATCATTGCTCATGTCAAATGGATCTTGGCTGAAAGCAAAAAATACCAGATGCTTACCTTTGTTTTACTGACTATACAAAAGCATTTTATTGTGTGGATCATAACAAATTATAGACAACATTGTTAAGAATGGGGATTCCAGAAACTTAACTGTGCTCATGAGGAACCTGTACGTAAGACCAGAAGGCTGTCATCTGAACAGAACAAGTAGATACTGCATGGTTTAAAAATCAGGAAGGATGTGTATCAGGGCTGAATCCTTTCACCATACTTATTCAATCTGTAGGCTGAGCAAATAACTTGAGAAGCTGGGCTACATTAAAAAGAATGCACCATCAGAATTAGAGGAAGAACCATTAACAACCTGTGACATGCAGATGACACAACCTTGATTGGTGAAAGTAAAATGACTTGAAGCACTTACTGATGAAGATTAAAGATTAGAGTCTACAGTATGGATTACATCTCAACATAAAGAAAACAAAAATCTTCATTACTGGACCAATAAGTAACATCACAATAAATAGAGAAAAGACTGAAATTGTCAAAGATTTCACTTTACTTGAATTCACAATCAACACCGATAGAAGCAGCAGTCAAGAAATCAGATGTTATATTCCACTGGGCAAGTGTGCTACGAAAGACCTCTTTAAGTTGTTGAAGAGCAAAAATGTCACTTTAAAGACTAAGCTGTGCCTAACCCAAGGCATGGTATTTTCAATTGATTCAAATGCATGTGAAAGCTGGACAATGAATAAGGAAGACTAAAGAAAAACAGATGCTTCTGAATTGTGGTATTGAGAAAAATACTGAAAATATCGACTGCCAGAAGAATGAACAACTCTGTCCTGGAAGTGCAGCTGGAATGCTCCTTGGATGCAAGAATGGCTGGATTTCATCTTTCCTGCTTTATAAAGTTGTCAGAAGGGACCATTCCCTTCAGAAGGACATCATGCTTGGTAAAGTGGAGGGCCAGAGAAAAAGGGGAAGTGACACATAGTGGCTGCGACGATGGGCTCAAGTATGGCAAAGATTGTGAAGATGGCGCACCGCTGTGCAATGTTTCATTTTGTTGTACACAGGGTCATTGTGAGTCAGAGACAACTAGCAGTACCTAACAAAAATAACAACTAGAACAAGGGAGAAGAGTCTTTACCACAAGGACTGTATCTGGACCTCCTATGTCCTAACAGCATCTTGGGCCAGGAATCTAGGCATGCCCATTTATGAATGAAGAGGGGCCCAAGTCAAGGCAAATACAAAATTGCTAAAAAGGGTGGGACAGTAAAGGTGTATGTGGTGAGGTATGTTAGTGAGGGGAGGGAGGTTCAGTAACTTCCCACTCAAATAAAATTTATCTGCAATTCACAATTCCAAATCTTGTGGAGGCAAAAATCACCAATACTGAATAGTAATGAAAATATATTATGTTTTCTTTCATTCATAGGTTTTGGCATATATAAAGACATCGAGCCCTGGTATATGCTCCTCTAGCTCCCCAATACACATCATCCCCATAACTTTTGTTCTTCAAGACATAGCTTAGCCACCAGTCACTCAACCATCAAGCTCTCCCTGAGTCCTCAAGACCAAGCACAGTACCCCTTTTATGTAACTCTGTATCTCTCTGCATCTTCTTATTATACAATGGGTTAAAACATGTTTAATGTCTTGTCTACTGGTCTATTTCTCCTACACATCCACGAGATACTTGAGTCCAGAGAAAACTTTGTTCCTCATCATATTTCCAGGGTAATCACAGCATGGGGTAATCATAGGCCATATCATGAACAACTGCTCTATGCAATGTATTTACCTTCATTAAAGCTGTCTCACCATTGCTCTGCTGGACGTTTACAAAAGCTCCTGCTTCCAAAAGAATAGCCACTGTTGTTAAAAAGTTCTATTAAAATAAACAAAAAAAGCAAATTTAACTCCTCAAATTCTTTAAAAGGCATTCAGTCATCAGCAAATTCTATCTCAAGCAGGTTGCTGAATATATTATTCCAGTTTCTTCACTACACAGATTTCTGTGAGAATGGGATGATATGGTGAATTGGGTCCTCCCACCTCTCATGTACTAATGCACAGTTACACACTATTTTGCCAGCAATTTCAACCTAAAGTATAATCGTTAGTTTCAACATAAAAGCATCTGCCAACAGATCCCTTAAAAAGGTAATACATGGGAACATTTTAATTAAATTATTAACCAAAGGAACATCAATATATTAAGCAGAGGTCATTTTTAATATAAATTGCTTGCAATTATGTAAATCCCTTTTTGAAAATTCGATTACACAGTATTACTGTTGCTAAAAGCATCCATTCCTTACAACTCAGTGATGGACCAAAATATGAAGTTATAGGATTGTATGGTCTCACTCTCCACTACTACCACCCCTAATCCCAATTATATTATTATATATAAGATTATTTCTTAGTCCATTGGCAGGATTTCCCATCAAGATTATAAAACCAATGCATGCTAACCTTCTCAGCTGCATGAATCAGTGCAGTGGTCCCGTTCTTCTGTCTCCCATTAACTTTGGCTCCTTTTTTGATGAGGAGTCTAAGAAGGTCATCTTGTCCCCCAGCTGCAGCAAGCATCACTAGAGTCATCCCACTTGAATCCTTTATAAGTTTTTTTTTTTAATAAAGAAGAAAAAACATGTTAATATTTAATGAGAAAAATTTCAGAACTAAGTCTCTTTACCTAGAATATTTCAATGTGAAATTATTAAAATGCATTAATTTAAAGTATCTACTACACTTTTAAACTAAAATATTCTAATAAATATTCAGAAACTCAAAGTCACTGCCATCAAGTCATTTTTCCAACTCATAGTGACTTCTCCTTGGGTTTCCAAGGTGGTATCTCTAAGGAAGTAGATTGCCCAGTCTACCTTCCGAGGAGTGGCTGGTGGATTTGAACCGCCAGTCTTCTGGTTAGCAGTTAAATGCCTTAGGCATGACGCCAAAGCATTCAATGTAGTAAGCTCCAAAGGCACACTGACAGCTTGCATGACATAAAATGCACAGTGAATCTCAATGTTACATAAATGGCAAAGGTACTTTTTTTTTTCTCTCACAACTCAGGTCCAAAATTCTCCTTTGGCCACTAGCTAAAATAGGTGAAACTCATACAATCATTACATTCATTTAAGTTGGCCCAAAGATACAAGGCAAGAAATGACCACTAAAAATCTCATTAAGTCCCATCTGCTGATGACAAACTAAAATGAACTACATAAAAGTTGGTCCATGTAAATGAAATTGTTAGGTAGTATTTGGCTTCTCCAAGGATAAAGAAGAAATTCAAAAATAGGCAAAAGACTTTCGTACAGTTAGTTTCTAAGATGCTGTGATAAAAGAGAGGAAGGAAAAGTGCTTTGAACAGGATAAAATTACATGAAATTGGCAAAAATAAAAAGCCACTCCACTAAAATTGAAATAAGACAAAGTAATCACTTCCTCTAATTTTAAACTATCTTAATTTTTATTACAAAACATATTAAATGAAACAAAGAAACAGATTTTTCCCAATTTAAAAAAATGTTCTCTACAACTATTATGTTTCCCTACAGCTATACTGTTGTTGTTGTTGTGTTGCTGAGTTGATTCCAATTCATAGTGACTCCCCCCAAAGGGGCTGTCTAGGCTGCAGTCTTTAATGGAAGCAGGCTGCCAGTTTTTTTCTCCCGTGGAGAGGCTAGTGGGCTCAAACTGTCAACCTTTAGTTAGCAGCCGAGTGCTTAACCACTGTGCCACCAGGGCTCCTAGTATACTATATTAATATGTGCCGCGGACCAGCACAGTCACTGGGTTCGGCCTTATTACTCGAAGAAGATTATAGGTGAATAGGGAGTCGGCGAACTGGCTAACAGAAGACAAACAACTCAGAGGATGCTTGCAGCTGAGAGCGTTTATTATGCTTCAAAGCCATATTTTTATAGTATATGTTAGTTCCTTTTACAAAACCACCATCTATTTTGATTTCAGTCAGTCAAGCAAGTTAAAAATAAAGTGGAGATGTTTCAAAATACAATAAGAAACAAAGTGTCTATCTTAACATAATATCTTATCTTGTTAGTTACAAGTTCCTAAAATTATTACTTAACTATTTCTTATTAACTACTATTACTAAATAATCTAGTAAGTTATTAAATCTTTAAAACAATAACTATATTTTCATATTCTCATACGCACACAACTTTATTTATTTTTTGTGTATGTCTGATCTTTTTGTTCTAGCTTTACTTATTTAAGATTGAGGATTATCAAATTTATATGGTCAAATATGTTTTCTCCAATCTAGTTTTCTTAAATGAGGATATCTTTATTAATTTTCTCAACCATCTTTCTTATTTGTTGCTTTAAACTTTCCTTTTGCTGATGTGTAAGTAAACACCAAGGGCTTTTCATTCTTTCTAGTTTCTCTGTAAAACTTAACCTATACCAGGACGTATGTTTACCATTATAATTAATGATTCTATCTCCATCTTTAGTATACACTCCTGTATAAGGCAATGGACTATCAGTTGGAATTGGAATTTTAAATGGTGCACCTTTAGGGGTCTCTACAACCTCCCATTCCCCAAATCATACAGTCATTACAGTAGGAGGCAAAGGCCTCTTTGGATTTTTTGTAGTTCTCCGCAACCTATGTTTTTTATATTTGGATGACAATATAGACTGTCCTTAGGGGGCTCAGGTTCTTTCAACATAAGTTCGCTTTGCTCCAAATCATTAAAAAAGTTCCCTTCAGGTTCTTTGTGGACATTTTCAATATTGCTTGAAGTACCGGAGGCAATTGCTCTTCTGGAAAGTTTCCAGGAGTTTCTTTTGAAGTCATCCAGGATTCTGTGAAAAATACACTCTCTCCTAGGGGAGGTTTTAGGTCAATACCATCGCCTGATCCTCTAACATCTCTCTGCTCCAAGAAATCTTTATTATAACCAAAAATTAATGAACCAAACAATATTATCAAAAGCATCAGCAAGCACGAACAAATAATAAAAATTGAGAGAGCACACTTCATCCCGGGAAGCTTAGAGTTTCCTTGAAACAGCCGCTTCAGACCGGTGACTATGTCACGCGGACCCCACCGGGGCTGTCGTGGCATCTCCCCCTTTTTTGTTTTGTAATTTAAAAAGATAAAACTCTTCTTGGATTGTAGAGAGAGATCGTCTAGTCAGCCTTAGAAAGACAGGAAAAAGACAAATTAACAACAGGATCAAGGCTCCAATAATGGCACAAGTGATAATTATTCTTATCCAATTTAATAACTTACTAGATTATTTAGTAATAGTAGTTAATAAGAAATAGTTAAGTAATAATTTTAGGAACTTGTAACTAACAAGATAAGATATTATGTTAAGATAGACACTTCCTGTTTCTTATTGTATTTTGAAACATCTCCACTTTATTTTTAACTTGCTTGACTGATTGAAATCAAAATAGATGGTGGTTTTGTAAAAGGAACTAACATATACTATAAAAATATGGCTTTGAAGCATAATAAACGCTCTCAGCTGCAAGCATCCTCTGAGTTGTTTGTCTTCTGTTAGCCAGTTCGCCGACTCCCTATTCACCTATAATCTTCTTCGAGTAATAAGGCCGAACCCAGTGACTGTGCTGGTCCGCGGCAGGTGGCGAATATGGACCAAGTTACATGAGTGTCAAAGCAGAAAGAAAAATATATGTATCATAAAATCCAACATCTATTTCTGATTAAAAAAAAATAAACTTTTAGGCATAAAGAAGCTAAAAAAAAAAAAAAAAAATTAAAAACAAGGCAACTCACTGCTATCGAGTTGGATCCAACTCATAGCGACCCTTCCTTTGGTTAGCAGTCAAGTTTCCTAAAATCAAAGGTGAAGGGAAAAAAAAAAAAAAAAAAAAAAATTAAAAACAAGGCAGAGTGCAGAGCAAGATGATGCAAGGGCAGTTCCAAGTTCCCATCCTCCAGACACACACACACAAACACACACACAGACACATGTAAGCAGAAACTGTCAGAACCAACTTCATCACAACTCTGAAAACCAAACAAAGGTTTACAGTAAGAAAACACTGAATCTAGAAAAAGGTGACCTTTAAATGGTAGAAAAGCTTTGGTTTTCTTCTTGCCTACACCTCACCCCCTCCCCTGCTCAGAGTGGCCATAAAGCAGCAGGAGCCTGCTCTCCCAGAGAGGCAGTCAAGGCTCTGGCTCTAGGGGGAGCAGAAAAGATCTAATCAAAGTTATTTTCTGTGTCTGTTCTAACCTGTCTTGGGCTGTCTAAAGAACTGAGGTGAGGCACTCATCTTGGTTTGACCTGTCTTGGAGCTCATGTGGGGCTATGACCACCTGTAGCTGGCTGGGCCTAACGAGTGACATTTAGGCATAAAATAGGCATATATAAACTGGAAGGAGATGCTAGGGAGAGTTCTTTTCAGAAATTAAGGCTTTCAAAAGTACCCTGAGTAAGTGAGAATTGAGAATATCACATGCATGCCCAGGACAGGATGTATGCTCAGAAATTACATGAAAAGATATCACCTTGGACCTTGGACTGATCCTTAGACTCAGTGCAAGCCTGGGTAATTGCTGAAGGCAGGTCTAGAACAATTTGCAAAGATTAGTAGAGGCATTTTTGCTTTTTGTTCCTTGCTTTCAAGAAAATTTGTCAAAACACTAGCTGAAAATAGGCTAAGTAAGTAACAGAGAATTCAGTGACCACACACAACTAAGTAGACAGTTATAGCAAAAAGTGTTAGAGGAAATCACTAAACAAATGATCAAAGCCTTCAAAAACCCTTTCAAGACAGAATTTTTTTTTTTAAACTATGATTTTGGTGAAAGGTGACAGAACAAATTCATTTTCCATTCAACAGTTCATACACATTTTGTTTCATGACATTGATTGCAATGTCTATAACGTAACAGCTCTCTTCCTAGTTCCTCCCGGTGGTTACCTTTTCCCTGTGCCCTTCCTTCCCTACACATTCCTGCCCTGTGAGCTATCTCCCTGTGCAAATGCTGCCCTTCTGATCTCCCACGGTTGACTGTTCTAAATGTTCACCTTACAGGCCTGTCCACTGTCTGGCTAGATGTCACAGCTGAGTTCAATTCCAGGACAAAAGGGTGACTAAAGGCCCTTATATTGGGGGTTTCACTAGTCTCTATAAGACCAGTAAACCTGGGCTTTTTTTTTCTTCTATGATTTTGAGTTTTGTTCCACATTGTTCTCCCATTCTATCCACAATGGCCTATTCTGATCCCTTTCTGAGTGGCTGACAGTGGTAACCAGGCACCACCTAGTTTTTCTAGTCTTAGGGTCATATAGGCTGGGTGAGGTTCACATGGTCCACTAGTCCATTGTAATGTTTCCATGCATCTTTGATTTCCTTCACTCTTCTTTGCTCCAGATGAGAAGAAATCAATAACTGAATGTTAGATGGCCACTTGCAAACTTTTAAAACCCCGGTCATTACTCAACAAAGCAGGATGAAGAACAATGTCTTTGTGTAGTTAAGCCAATTGAGCTTGATGTCCCGTGACCATGGTCCCAAGACTGCAGGCTCAGCAAATCACTCCGTATTTTTTCCTTTGATTTTCTGTTGATACTATGTGTTTACAGTAATAGAAG